TTAAATTGGTACCAACTTTTTTTGATTGGTACATGTTGATACGATTTTTGCACCAACGTTGCAAAAATTGAATTTATAAATTTATATAAACAGACGTATTTACCAACTAGATCTAGATGCACTAAAACAATCGTGCATTCAAGTAACAGTATGATATTTGTTGTAGCATTTATCCCTAACTATACAAACATTCAAATAATTTTTATATAATACAAGTATTCGTTAGTCGTCTAATACAAGCGGGTATTGAGGAGCAATGATAGATCGTGAAGGTGTGACGAGTTACTAAGGTTGTTAGAGTTAAACGAATGAATTCAATCAAGTTCTATATATCCTTTCATATGATAATTTAGCAAATATTAAATAAGAAATTTTTAAATTTAAAGTCAAAATATGTTGTATTTAGTGATGGCGAAATCGGCCCGGCCCGGGGTAAGGACCGGTTATGGGACCGAAAACCGGGACCGGTTGGGGTTTTTGGTAGTTTCGTAGGACCGGGACCGGCTATGGTCCGATCAGAAAATTCAAATAATTTTATAAATAAATGTATTTTTAAATAATTTTATAATGTATTTTTATCAGACAATGTAATTTTAATTATATTAAAACGCATTTTTAAAGTGTATTTGAATGACCCAATTGTAAATTTTGATAATGTATTAAAAATATATATCATTAAAAAATTATAAAAAAATTCTTATTTTTTAATACCGGGACTGGGACCGGCGGCCCATAACCGGTTATGAAGTACCTTGACTGGTCCTACCATTTTCGACCGGGACCGATTATGGCCGGTTATAAGAAAGCTTGAGACCGATTAGGCCCGGCCCGAAACCGGTTTTTGGCCATCACTAGTTGTATTAGTGATTAAACTTTAGATAATAATCAATTAATAAATATATCTTCTTATCAAGTGATAAAGGGAGCAGAGGTGCCGGTAACGGAGGGAGGGAGTAATGGTGTAGCACCCAAAATTTTTGGACATAAGAATACGAATTTAGCCACTTGAAAACCTGCATCCGGGTATATTTGCAGAAATGTTTGGATCTGGAGACTCTTAATGTAACTTTAGCTGCTTGAAAACCCGCATTCATGCCCAGATCGGTTTTGAAGTTTTGACCTCATTTCTCTTCCTCCCTCATCTTATTTCCTCCCTCTTCATATACTTCGATTTTAGGAGCATTATTTATACTTCCTCAACCATGTAAACTCTTATACCATTTCCTTTTGGTGGGTGATTTTATTTGGTTAAGCCTTTATTCGTCTTATTTCTACGGTTTAATTTGTCTCTTGTATTAAGGGTGTTACAAGTGGTGCCAACTAGAGATAAGGGAGGGAGCAGTAACGACCAGAGATGGAAATGTTACCCGTTGGGTCGGGTCCCCAACCCTAATGGGACGGAGATTCCCAGTTTGACGGGTAACGAGGCGGGGTTCATACTTGAAGCGGGTCGTGATGGGGTCGGGGACGATATTACTCGCCCCTAATTCAACCCCGATTAAATTTTTTTATTTTATTCAATATATATATAGTGTGTGTATAAATAAATATATATGTATAGTTGTATACCTCTATCTAATGGCAAATATATTTGATTTTTAATATTGGTAGTCAATGTAGTGAGGATTCATTATAATTTTAATTTTAAAATACATTATTTTTTACTAACCCGAACCCGTTAGAGATTCCTTCCTCCCGAACCCGTCAGGGATTAATCAGGGCAGAGGGATATAAATGGAGGTCGGGGTCAGGGATGGGGGATGCATTACCCGCCCAATACCCACCTCGTTTCCATCGCTTGTAAGAACGGAATAGTAGAGAGAGTGGTGCCGACGAGAGATCAAGGGAGGGAACATAAGGACGGAGTATTAGAGACTCAGGAGATTGAGAGAGACGGGCTTTTCTTTTTCTTGTACGTGAAGTGTGAAATGAGAGGGAAGGATATTTTAGGGATGTATTTGACTAAATGGATACAAGAGATCGATGAAAGCTTAGGGAATAAGTGATGGACTAAATCAATAAGTTATTAACAAGCAACATTCATGGATGGCTTAACGAATAAGCCGTACATATTATTAAGTCCATTAAGTTACAACAAAACAACCCTTACTTAGTGAAGAAAACTATAACATAATCATGAAATATATGTGAAAAAATCTCATTTATGTGTATGCATAATTATATAAAGAGAAAATTGTATCAAAATAGAACCAACTTTCACCTGGTTCCTATTTTGGGGAACCAACTTTCAAAATCGTCATTTAGGAGTCTTTATCAAACTTTTTGTTTATTTAAGGATCTGGTTGACCTGTTAATGCTAATATCATCTAGATTTTTTGTCAACTAAGATATTCTACATCATATTAATTTTTTATTTTAAAACTAATATTTCACGTCATATTTAAAATTGCAAAATAATTATAGAAAAATAACTAAAATTTGTTTTTTTTTTTCAAAATTAATGCAATAAAATCTATTTTTTATTTCAAATCTCGTTTTTTTTAAATTCAGATATCAAATTGAAGATTTTTTCAAAAAAAAAAAAATCCAAATTACCACAATAAAAATTGTTTTTACTAATGCAATAAAAAATCAATTTAATAGAAAAAAATTAATTGATGCAATAAAAAATAAATATTAAATATCACATTCAAGATTTTTATATCTAACCAATCTGTATCAATATTAAAATTTAAATCAAATTTGGCAAATCAAATCAAAAGTTTGATAGAGACCCTTAAATTATCTGTTACATGTTCAACAGATCAACCAGACCCTTAAATAAACAAAAAGTTTAATAGAAACCCTTAAATAACGATTTTGAAGGTTAGTTACCCAAAAATAGGAATTAAGTGAAAGTTGGTTTCATTTTGGTGCAATATACGAGCAAAAAATCCCCAAAAAGAAATCGAGATAAATTCGCATATTTTTTTGAACTGGGAATTGAAATATGCGAGCAAATTATTGAAAATTAAGTTGAAATATGATATTACTAATATATAGTCAAATAGTGAGTTTATCCGTTTCAATAATTTGTTCACGTATTTCAATTCTCAGCTCAAAATATATGTGAATTTATCTTGATTTCTTTTATTTTTCTAAACTTAAAGATTTTTTAACGCTATTTTATTTTTTGTGAATTTTATAGTTTTAAATAAATATAAAGATTTCCATTTAATATGTACTTTATTTAAGATATTTCATTTGTGATTGAATATATAAAATATTTTTTAATTAAAAATATAAAAACAATGAATTACATTATATTTTAGAGAATATTGCATTTTTGGTCCCTATAGTTTATTCAAAGATCAATGAGTCCATCATAATGGTTGTTAACTAACATTGTTAAGTAAAGAACAATTAGCGTTATAAAAATGAAAAATTAGGGACTACCAGTGCAGATAATTTGTTTTAGAGACCAAATCCAAAATTTAAGCAAATCACAAGGACCACCAATGTAATTCACTCTATAAAATAATATTGATTCAACCTCGGTGGAACAAATAAAATGTTTATTTATCCCTCCTTTAGTGAAAGTAATTAATAAAGAATTCTCTGTATTTAATGTTTTCTCTATGTTTCTCTATTTTAGAGCATCTCCATCAATTTCTCTATAATTTCTCTAAAATAAAAAATTAAAAGTCAAAAAATTTAAAATAAATAATATACAACTTCATCTATTTTATATATTTTTCTTCATTAATTATATTATCTAAATATTTTATAACTGTATGATTTCAATTCACTTTAAAAAAATGTTGTATATAAAATAATATTAATTCGATGAAATGAATTAAAAAAAACCTATTTCTCGATTCTTTATTGAGAGTTTTAGAAAATTCTCTATATGTAAAGTTTTTCTTTATATTTTTCTATTTTAGAAAACAAGATAGATAATTTGTTAGAGCCATATGAAGAACAAAAACTCAATTTTCTCTATTTTACTAGTTGTGAATTTTAACGATTTTGAAGTTTTACTGGTTTTATTAGAAAAGATTGATTTAACGATGATATAAGTTACAGTTGGTCTTTACATATTAATACGATTTGAATAAATAAGAGTTATGGTTCCAATTACAGTCTATTGATGAAAAAAATTGTATGACAGTTTAAAATCGAATATATTTAAAATTCAACATATTTAAAACGACTCCACAAATGTGTTCGATTTACACCAAGAGCAGAGAATCAAGAGATCGAGAGCGAGACCGAGAGTTCTAGAGCAATTGAATGAGTGATGAATGAGATAACTCTTAATAACTCATGGTGAATATCAGTTTGAATCTCATCTTTGGGGATGATGAGAAGACATAGAGGCATATATGAGAAGGTGAAGACATGAGTGAAATATGTCAAAAGTATCTTGAAAACATATGAAAAGAAAAGATAATAATGTGCATTGGTAAATTGTACTATATGTTATTTTAATTGTAGATTGAGAAATTTTAAGATTGTATGCATAAAATAGTAGTACTTAATGAATTATGAGTTGTTTTCAAAACTTTTAAAACTTTGTGGATTAAAAATTATTTTTAAGACTTTTGATAAATCTGGTTTATAAGGTATTATAGATAAAACATGTTAGATATGCTCTTAAAGAATAAGATCCGAAATATGTTGGAATATTATAAAGAACAAAAAATCTATTTTTAGAAAATCTGTTAGAGATGTACCCAGTATTTTTAATATTTATAATATTAAAACTTATTTTGATATATATATATATATATATATATATATAGTAACCGAGTATAACTTTTTGGACGGAAGGAAGGAGTAATTTTAAATTATTAATGTGACCAAACTATTAAAAAAAACATGATTCAACATATTCAATTTCTATTCAATATTCCTGAGATGGCCTCTTTCCATCTTTGGTCAAACTTCGACATTTCCCACCTCATTTCTCTCTATAAATACCCCCCCGATATCTTCTTCTCCCTCATCATCCATCACTTTTTCAATACAAACCCAGAGATTCACAGAGAAGATTAGATATGGAGAATCTTGAAGCTCTTCCCTTTGCAATGGCTGCGTTTTTTTCTTTTATGTTATGGAGGGTGTTGTATTCTTGTTGGGTTTTGCCGATTAGGGTTTATAGAAAGCTCGCCATTAATGGGTTTTCTGGTCCACCTCCTAGCTTTCCTCTAGGGAACACCATTGACATGAAGAAGGCCAAGAAAATTGAATCTTCTTCGTCGTCTTTAACTGTTTCTAATGATATCCATTCCAGTGTGTTTCCGTACTTTGCTCAGTGGCAAAAATCATATGGTAATTAAAGCTCAAAACCCTAGCTAGTTGAAGTTTTGATCAGATCTTAAGGGTTTGGGAATGTGTTTGATGTTTGTTGTTTTTTGCAGGGAAGGTGTTTGTCTACTGGCTTGGAACTGAGCCTTTTCTGTATATTGCTGATCCAGAATTCTTGAAGAAAATATCATCTGGGGTTATGGGGAAAAGCTGGGGGAAACCCACAGTTTTCAAGAATGACAGAAAACCCATGTTTGGTGGTGGTTTGGTTATGGCGGAAGGTGATGATTGGGTTCGCCATCGTCATGTCATAACTCCTGCATTCTCTCCTGCTAACCTGAAGGTGATCATCCTTTCGAAAACCCTCTCTCTCTCTCTCTCTCTCTCTCTCTCTCTCTCTTTCTCTCACACACAGTCACACACACACACACACGCATACTCTAGATCCATCTCTCAAGATGCTAATTATAGTGAGTTCATTTCTTGTACGAATTAAATTAACAGGCAATGTCAAGCATGATGGTGGAGACAACGACAAGCATGCTAGACCGATGGACGGAGTTGATCAACTCCGGCAAGCCAGAGATTGAAGTAGAGGGAGAAATCATAAGCACGGCCGGCGAAATCATCGCGAAAACAAGCTTCGGGATGAACTTCGAGAACGGAAGAACAGTGTTCAAGAAGCTACGAGCAATGCAGGTGACGCTGTTCAAGTCGAATCGTTACGTAGGCGTACCGTTCAGCAAATACCTGTGTCTTGGACAACATCTTGAAGCAAAACGACTTGGGGAAGAGATAGATGCCCTACTCTTGCCAATCATAGAAGACAGAAAGAAATCAATGGCGGAAAACATGGTTGCAGGTGGTGGTGGTAACAAAGAACAGCAGAATCTTTTAGGGGTTTTGCTGGAAGGAAACCATGTGGGAGGAGATCAAAAAGGGAGGAGATTGAGTACGAGAGAGCTGGTGGATGAATGCAAAACGTTCTTCTTTGGTGGGCATGAGACAACGGCGTTGGCCATAACTTGGAGCTTACTGATGCTGGCGGTGCATCCCATGTGGCAACATGAACTCAGAGAAGAAGTTAAGCAGGTGATTGGAGATGGCAACATTGATGCAACCATGCTTGTTGGCTTAAAGAAGGTAACAACATGACTCTCTAACATGCCAATTAGGGTTTTCTTGGGGTGTTTGAGATTGCTTATTTGAAACAACTTATGTTTTTTTACAAAAGTTTTTATCAACTTATTGTAAGTTAGAATGGTTTAACTTCTTCAAAAACTTCTTATTACCGGTTTGACACCCTGGATCAAAAGTGCTTATTACCGAGGCCACACCAAAATAAGTCAATAAGTTGTTTTCAAAAGCAATCCCAAACACCGTCTTTTTTCTTTTTTTTGCCACTAATAATTATTATTAGTTACTTAAAATCATTAATTTGGATTTACATCAAAAGATTTGTATTTTTTATATTAACATGTGAATCATATGTCGAATCAAAAGTTTTTTTTTTTTTTTTTAAGAAATTGAGTGTTACTATGAGATTCGGCTCCAATTTAAAAAACCCGGGTACCAATTCTTGATACTGAATTTTCTGTCTATTATTTTTATTGAAAAAATGCAATAACTGATTAATTCGTTTAAAAAACAAGAATCATGATTTTTATTCCTTATTTCAAGATCTTTTATCTGTACGGAAAATATAATTAATTGATAGACTCTTTTGAAGATCTGAAATCATCAATTCTAATTCTTTTTACACTTATAAAGTCATAGTTTATAAAAAGCAGACACTTATCACTATCGTTGTTCTTATTATCAAAAAATATCTTTTATTTAATGATTATCCGATAGTTATAAGTAGAACATAATTAAAGTGATAATTGATTAAACATGAAAATGGTTATAAAATGTTGCCAAAAAAGGAAATCAATTATATAAGATCTTAGTGCAAATTTAAATCATGATTAGCCTAATAAACATGTGGCTTAAACAAAGCATATTTTGTCATAAACTTTAAAACTTCTTTTCATTTGCACCCTACATTTATCATACAAATTAAGGGTTGGGTTCACGTAAGACCAAAGGTTTTTCGTGAGACGCGTAAGACCAATTTATGTTCACTGATCAACTTTATAAGCTAATAATCAAATGGTCTAAAGTTGCACGGTAGCAATTTTGTGATTATGAATGTTCAGATTGTAGATCTAATCCAATGGTTGATAATTGGTCTCATGAAAAGCCCGTGGTCTCAAATGATCCCAAGTCTACAAATTAATATTGATTAATTATATGCAAAAATAGATGCAATAATTTCTTTTTAAGTCAAACAAGAATTTCATATTCAATTTTTAATTACATACCACTAATTAATTAATATTATAAGATATGTTTTTTAATATGTTACAAATAATTATATATTGATTTTTTTTTGTAATTCTATTTTGTGACAACAGATGGGGTGGGTGATGAGTGAAGTCTTACGATTATACCCTACAGCCCCAAATATCCAAAGGCAAGTTCGAGGGGACATTCAAGTCGACCAAGACTCCGTAATCCCTGACGGCACCAACATGTGGATCGATGTGGTGGCAATGCATCATGATCGTGACTTTTGGGGAGAAGATGCGAATGAATTCAAACCTGAACGGTTCAAGGAGGATAGCTTGTACGGGAGATGCCAACACAAGATGGGCTATTTGCCTTTTGGGTTTGGAGGTCGAATGTGTGTGGGTCGAAATTTGAGCGCGATGGAGTACAAGATAGTGTTGAGCTTAATCTTGACCAAATTTTCGTTCTCGTTATCACCAAATTACTCTCATTCGCCCTCTATTATGCTTTCCCTTAGGCCTATGCATGGCTTACCCCTTTTAATGAAACCGTTGTAGCTAGGTAGCTAGGTTTATGTACGAGAAAAATTAATCTTGATACATGAAAGTTTGCTGCTAGCTATGGGATTGAAGTATAGAGTGGTTGTCTGTTATTTTATTATTGTTAACTAAATAATGAAAGCTGATAATCAAAGTTTTATGGATTCTAAATCAGATAGTTTTCGATTTTGATTTAATTAGTCTAAGCGTATTTTTAGTATCGGTATAACTTTTTACCGCTCGTCGTTATGCTAAAGATCAATCAAGACCCGATCCTTATCGTATGCATTGAAATGAATAATGAAAACTCGGTCCCCCAATTAATTTTTGGTCCATTTTTGAGATAAAATTTTGAAGAAAAGAAGAGTCATTGTGGTTGATTAGCCCATGAAGATTGAAACCTGAAGCCCATTATATGCCTTTTACAGTTTTACCTCACTGTTAAAATGCAGAAATAAAAAGTCAAAATATTAACAAAAAAAAGTTACCTTTTATCTCTAACATATTAATATTTTTGAATTATATTATTAAAATATTCAATACGATTAATCTATACAATCTTATAAATCTGATTTGTTAAAAGTCTTAAAAACAATTTTTAATATACAAAGTATTATATATTTATGTACAAAATCTTAAAAGTCTTAAAAACAACTCATAATGCATTAAGTACTACTACTTTATGCATTCAGTTTTAAAATCTTTTAATCTACAATAATAATAATAACATATAGTACAAGTTATCAATGCATATTATTACTTTTTCTTTTCATGACCCCAAGATATTTTTGACACATTTTACTCATGTCTTCACCTTCTCATACCTCTATGTCTTCTCCTCATCCCCGAAGGTGAGATTCAAATTGATATTCACCATGAGTTATTAAAAGTTCTCTCATTCAATGCTCTACAACTCTCAGTCTCGCTATCGATCTCTTGGTTCTTTGCTCTTGGTGTAAATCGAACACATTTGTGGGGTCGTTTAAATATGTTGAATTTTAAATATATTGGATTTTAAATATATTGGATTTTAAACAGTCAAACAAATTTTTTTTTCATCTATAGACTGTAATTGGAACCATAACTCTTATTTATTCAAATTATATTAATATGTAAAAACCAAGTGTAATTTATATCATCGTTAAATCTTCTCTAATAAAACCAATGAAACTTCAAAATCATTAAAATTCACGGCTCTCGCCGCTTTGTGCGGGTACACAACTAGTAAAATATTATTTGTCTCTCCTAAAAGTTTAGATTCAAGCAATCTCATTGGTTGAATGAATAAAAAATCATTTCTCTCATAAATAATCATTTTTGGAGAAAGTTTCAAATTTACAGAACTTCATCATCTCTCTCATGCTTTTTTCATTTTGAAGAAAGTTTTTGGGAATCTTTTGGAGTAAAAACTCCAAAATCTTCATTTTGGAGAATCTGTTGTAGATGCTCTTATATATCAAATTATATTGTTGTATCTATAAACGTTAAGTGGTTGTTTGGTGTGTTTTTCATTAGTTCTTGTATGAAAGTTGTGTATGTGGATTAATCTGGTGTATATTGGGAATATTTTTGTTTGAGAAGGTTTTTTTCATAGATGAGATGAGCGTGTTTTTTAATTAGAAGTGACATATTTGAAAAAAAACTTGACTAATTATATAAAGTTCTCCCTAAATGCTTACTGACTAAGTATCTTTTTATATCAATAGGCTATTACTATCACGTATAGCTGACCAAATAGATTGTGAATCTTATTAAACACATTAAGCTGCAAACAAACATCTCTAAATCAAATAAAAACCATAAAAAGATCATAAATGCGTGACAATCGATTTAACAGTATTTTTTTACATTATTTTTTTTTTTTCATCAAATGCTATAATTTGAAATATTAATTCACATATATTTGTTTCATAATATAATAGTTCCACATTTAATTGTTTCATTATATGTAATCTTTTTACGTGTATTTTTCATCTCACGAAAGGGCCGTTTACTAAACACTTACTTGGTAAGTGCTTACCGAATAAATTTCCTCATCGGATGAACATGATAAGGGCCACGAATCTTACCGGGTAAGAGAGATGAGAAGGATAGAGAGTCTTACCCGGTAAATGAGGATGACGACTCTTACCCAGTAAATTGTTGCATTCGACATGTTTTGATATACTAAAATCTTACACATCAAAATAAAGCATAGTGTTGACTCCTATCAGTAAGCGCTTACCGGGTAAGCAATTGGGTAAACGGGCCCTAAGTGAACAAAACAAAAAGTTTCACATACAATTTTTTTACAAGGTGAACACATACGTATGTGAAACAGTATCTTAAAACATAGGTTTTGATACATAAAAATTAAGTAAAAAAAATATTTTTATATCAGTTCTCATGAGTTTGTAATTTTTTTTGTGGTTCTCATTTAATTATCATCTTATGTATATAAAGCCATTAGAGTTTCTGTGTTTTTTCAATAAAAGTTTGGATTCAGAAAACTCTTTCTTATGAAAGATTGTCAAAGCATTCACAATTAAGGTTTTTATTGAGGTTTTTATAAGAACCTCCAATATGTAACAAATGTTCTTGTTGAGCAATAGGTTCTTAGATGAGCGATCAAATGCAAATCATCCAATTTGTACAAACCGTGCAAGCTACCTTCATCCGTCGATTTCATTGTTTAATCTTATGAAATTTTTTCATGAAATTGTTTAATCTTGTGAAACTGCTTCATATAATACTTTTTTTTTGATGAAGTTGTTTCATATATGGTTATGAAATCGTTTCATATAATACTTAATGAAATTTTAATGAAATTGTTTCATGTATTTCTCTAAAATTAAACTAATGAAGATGATAATATATACGATTAACACCCTCCACAATAAAAGTGATTAATCAACCTCTTATAATTATAAAAAATGAACAAAATGAAAAATTATGATTGGTTGAATGAGATTTGTATGATTTGTACAAATAGCGTGGTTTGCAAAGTAAACCTCCTCTAGGTTCTTATTAGAACACAGATGCTTGAACAAGAACTCAGATTCTTTTATATAGTTTCCGTTTTTGTTAGTTTTTATTTATTATTTTTATTTTTCTTAACCATTTTATTTTTTCTTTTTAATAAATTTATAAAAACATATAAGTTAAAACTGATACAGAAAAATACACTACAACAAAAATAGGTTTATAGGACACCATCAATTTCTAGGCATCTTACTAGACTGTTTATAAGACTTAATTTATAGGATCAAAAAACAAAGCATCATATCTAAAGATGTTGTAGTAAGTTTATATGACGTTTTTAGGTGTTCTAACAAGTTTTTCAGGACAAATTAACAAAGTGTTTTTACAAATACATAAATATGATATTTATATTTAGAATACATACCGAATAACATTCATTTTATACTTAAATTGAGAATACAATTAATAATGAATAAAAAACAATTACTTATTATATCCATAATGCATAATGAATATAGACTGAATGCACGTGTTACATCAATAACATATTGATAATGCAAATAAAACGATGTCACTTACTATATTCAGGATACGAAAAGAAAAATATTCAAGATGAATATTGAATACATACAGAACATGTTGATAATTCTAATGAACAGCTATTCTATGATGAATAAAACACTGCCACTCACTGTATTCAGGATGTATACAGAAACATATTTAGGACGATTGCTAAATACATAAAAAAACATGATAATAATTATGATGAAGAATTGTTCGTCAATATATTCAGTATGCATAAAGAATACATATTGAATTTATGATCATTATGAGTTACATATTAAATAATGCAAATCAACACAACTGATACACATAATATTCGGGATGCATAGAGAATATATACTGATCGTTATGAGTGACGTGTTAATGATATACAGAAAATATAATCATACCTGCAAATTCCAATAATATGATATAAAATATAAGAACTTTACAGATAAGTTGAATTAATACAGAAAAAGACTTTAAAAAACAAACTATATTACTATGAAAACTATACACAGTTTAAAATTAAATAAAACGTTAAAACATATGAACTTACAGGCTCGGTCGGTCTTAAAAGAATTTATCTTTTTTAAAAAAAATTCAACAAAAATATCATTAATTTTTTTTTAATTCCAATTTTTGAAAGTTAACATTTAAATACACGTTAAATTATGCAATACTTTAAAAAAATTGAATTATTTTTCTATTGAAAATGTTGTAAAAAACTTGAAAATCTTATAAAAAGTAAAGAAAAACTAGTATTATAATTACTAAAAACTTAAAGTTTTTTAAAAAATCAGTCTTGTACATAAACGGGCCTGGACCAGATCTTGAAATTCAGAAAAAGACCGGTCCAAACCGTCAGATCAATCCCTATCAGTCCCAGTCGATCTGAATAGGCAATTTCAATTAGTGGTGGCCCAAAAACGGTCTCGGGCCGGGCCGGGCCCGATCGGTCCCAAGGTTGTGCATAACCGGTCCCGATCCCGGTCAAAAAGGTGAAGACCGGTCAAGTCATTCTATAACCGGTTATGGGGTCCCGGTCCCGATATTAAAAAAATTAAAGGAATGTATATATTTAATACATTATTAAATTTGTTGTACGTGTCACTCAAATACACTTTAAAAATACGTTTTATTATAATTAAAATTATATTGTCTTACAAATTGAGAACTTGGTATGTTAATCTCTCAACCAAAACACATATTTATAGTGTTTTGAGGCCAAAAACTACAAAAAAAAAGGCTCCCTAATGTCTCTCTAACGGCTCTTTTTTTTAAATTTCAGGTCGAGCCTTAATCGGTCTCGGTCCCACAAATCCGACAAAATACATAAGCGGTCGTAACCGGCAGTCCTATATCCGGTCCTCACCGATCCTTGGACGGTCCCGATCCCGGTCCTGATCCTCCGGCGGTCCCAGACCTGGCCGATTTGGCCATCACTGATCCCAATCTAATAATCTTTATATAAATGAACCTACTTCAAAGCTATAACCTCATATCCTAACAGG